GTCATATGTAATAAATTGTCAAATATTCCAATCATTATTAGCAACGCATTGCTTTAAATTTTTTTTTTTGTGGGATCTGGATCGGAATGCACTAAATTGCGGAATATATATTATCAGATTATGTGATCAACATGTGTTGATTTGCGCGGCAGACGAAGTCGACAGTCGCGCCTTGTTAATCTTTCATGTTTGAAAGAAACTGGCGGAAAGAGTGATGCAGTTTTTGGTGATTTTTTGGTCGTTAGTTTGATAAATTAGTAAGTAATTCAGGACTTCGTGTGTCTAGAACAGTTTAGGAAGTGTTTGTAACAGTCTACCAGTTAGGCATAATGTTAACATTTTTCAGCATTTCAGTCATTCAGTGTCTTGCAATATATCGTAGGTCCATCATTTTATCCAGACATGGAGAGTTTGTCGGACGTTATTTTGTGTTGTCGCGAGCTCTCAAGTGAAAAGGCCACGGAAAGAAAAGTAAGTAACTAGATCTATAAGAAGATTTTTTTGTTTTAAAATGCACTCAACAGGTCCAGCACAATACCTTGATAAAGGTATCAGAGTTATGGAAAACTTTTTTAGATAGCCAGTCATTTGAACCGGTGTAACGTTGAATATTGACCAGAGTTGAAAATTGAACTGGGGTCATTTTTCAACGTTGAATATTGAACCAGGGGTGTTTTTTCTCCGTTGAAAATTGAGACCAAAAGTCGTTGAATTTATACCCGGGGTCATTTTTCAACAGCTTGATATTTTTTTTCTTATCCCTGATGACCTCAACAAGTTGAAAATTGACCCTGTTGAATATTGACCCAACCTCAGAGTTTGAACATTATTTGAACTTGGAGGTTGTTTTTACGGTATTTATCAGTATCTCTATACTTATATTTCGGTTTCATTTTTTCCCTTTTCCAGAGTAATAGAGATAACATACATGCCAACTTTCCCGATTTAGGCGGGATTCTCCCGATTTTACCCTTTCATCCCGCCTTCCCGATCGGGAGAGAAAAATTGCCCCAATTTCCCGATTTGAAAAAAAATCAGATTTTCAGTTTCCCTACCGCCGAAATTTGTCAATCGGGATAAGAATATCAGAGTTGTTTATTCAATGCACACAGATAAGTCTCATTGTTTATTTAGCATGCAGAGTTAATTAGCAGCAACAGACTTATATAATATTGCAGAGAAATGAAATACTGTATACATAAACCGAGGAAAATAGAAGGAAGGGGATAGAAAGAGAAGAAAAGAAAATCTATTAAAAAAAATCAACAAAGTAATTTTTTTTTCGTGGCTTTATTTGAGTTTCATGTTTATAACTCATCACTCATTCAGGAAAAAGAAAGGTTTCTTTCTTGAAAATTAGATAAGTTACATATTACTCAGATTCTAATGTAAAGATAGTGGTGTATATAGTTTTCTGTCTATAACATTTATTTAAAATGGGATTAATTTTGGGGGCAATTTAAACCCAAAAAATTATTCACACAATAACCCATGAGTTTATAGATTATAGATCGCAAAATACATGTACTATACTAGTATGCTAATTTAAAAATGGAAAAATCGAAATAACCCACACGATTACTAAGTATATTATACGTAAAGTAACTTTAAATGTTTTTATTGTTTGTATCATTTTTGTAAGCTGGGGAGGGGCTAGAAAATTAAATTTAAAAAAATCAACTTACCTGAGTGAAAAAGGAAAACGACAAGAAAGAAGGAGTGGGTATTGGTCCAAACTCAAAGAAAATTCTATTTTGGAGGTTGATAGGAGGATACGTTCCATTTGATTACATCTTTCAAAACCGAATTTTATTCATACATATTACCAGATTACCCCGACTTGACGGTAATAAAAAGGTAGCGGTGGGACAAACAGCCTTTCAATGAACTTGAATGTTCAATAGTGTAAAGTAATAGTGTTTAATGATGTACCGAAAATGTAGTATTAGAATTGGTACTAAAAGTAGTTGAAACTGAGAAAAAAGTTTACCTCCCCCCCCCCCCCCCCCCCCCCCCCCCCCCCCCCCCCCCCCCCGAAATAGGATTTTCCACTTTGGGCAACTCTTTCCTTTTTTTTTTTTTTTTTATTTTTGCTTGTCAACTTGTTCAGGCAAGGAAATTTTTTTTTTCTCTGGCTGGCCCCCCCCACCTTCAAAAACGATGCTACCCCACTGAAGTGAGGAGTCAGCCCCCCACCCCACCCCCTGATACTTTGTGCATGCTCCACTACGATTTAACACCTAAAAAATGAAGTAAATTGGACTTTAAATGTCGAAACTATTATGTGTCCGACTTTAAATTCTACCTGTCCGACTTTCACTGTCGCTGTCTGACTTTATCAGCCTTTGCCTTTCCGTGTTTGGTTTTAAATTATAGCATTACAAAGCTTTTAACCAATGAAAATTAAGAATAGACAGAGGGTAAAAATATCATTTAATGTGACGTAAAACTTTCCGGTTATGTGTTACGAGTTTAGAGCGCGTACCGAAGGTGCATACGAGAGGGTCCGAAAAAGCGTCCGACTTTCGCTGTTCCTCCCCTAGCTGAAAAAAAAATTGGAATGGATCACCAGAGAGCTACAGTGTCACCCATATTAAAAGTATACATTATTTGCGTACAAAAAATCGCGCTTGGTTCTGAAATAATTTCTCCGAATTCTTACCTCAACTGCACAAAAGATGGATTTCAAAATGTTCCAGAGACCTCTATCAAGTACTAGTACTTGACATCTGCAAGAAGCTCGTTGGGCTGAATTATTTTGCCACACAAAATGGAAAAAAACAATTATATGATATTTTCGATATCTCAAATTCAGGCTCAGGAGGACTATTAAAAAAGGTTGTAAGGAATGTTTTGCTGTAAAAAAATAGAAGGAATATGCCAGAGACACACGGTAAGTAATATTTTTAGATTGCTGCAGTTGAAAAACACGGATATTGAAATATATAGCTTCAGCGCATTTTTTTTTGGTGCACAATTAATGTATACACTTTTTAATGGGTGGCACTGTAGCTCTCTTGCCTGACAATATAGCTGCAGATCTGTAGCATTATGGTTTTATATATTTGTCTTTGACCATAACGCTACAGATCCTGTAATGCTAAAAAGGTGCAATTTACGGCGCAATATTTTTTGCGCACTTTTGGGGAGAATTTCTCCACTTTCCAGCATCGGTCAATTAACTACCTTTCACTCCCTAATTCTAGACACATTCTGTAGCCAATATGTATATTTTATCCACCTCCCAACCATTTATAGTTGTCTCTACAGGCAATAAACTCGCGTTGAAGTGAATTTTCAGAAATCTAACAAATTATTTTAATCGAGCGCGTTTATCACTTGTAGAGATGACTATAAAGGGTTGGGAGATGGATAAAAAATACAGATTAGTTAAATAATGTGCCTAGAATTAGGGAGTGAAAGGTAGTTAATTGACCGATGTTGGAAAGTGGAGAAATTCTCCCCAAAAGTGCGCAAAAAATATTGCTCCGTAAATTGCACCTTTTTTGCATTACGGGATCTGTAGCGTTATGGTCAAAGACAAATATATAAAACCATAACGCTACAGATCTGCAGCTACTGACAATATAGCTAAATTTATGGTCAAAGTGAAAGGCTGGAAATTTAATTTTATGCATATACAATGCACGTGGTACTGACGGCCTTTGAGCATACGCAGAAATACCCAAAGACAGACTTTTTTAAAAAAAAAGAAATACTTTTTAAAAAAAAAATCAGAGGTGGAATCAGGCGAATTTAATCCTTTTGCGACACCACCTACCTAGTAACAATACAGTTGTGTGACCGGTCTCCGCGTCTTGAATCCCCAATGTAGGTACATATAATGCATGTACTTGAATACTATGTATTAATATGTCTTCAAGGAAATCTCATGAAGGAAACTTCATATATATTCTAATATTTTCTTTTTTTCTTGATTATTCGTATTTCTCAATTTATTATGTTCAAATTTCATGTATTTATTTTTTAGGGTACATTAAACCTTATTCAACAGCCAGTCTGTTTATCTGTCAGGAGATCTTTAAACTTGATAATAATTACTGAATGAGTTGAAATAATTATAGGACTTTCATATTTCAGATGTGCATTATTTGTGACATGCGATTTTCTGATCACATTTTGTCCGGCGTCCGTCTGTCCATCTGTCTGTCTGTCCGTCTCTCTGTCCGTAAACTTTTCACATTTTCAACTTCTTCTCAAGAACCGCTGGGACAATTTCAACCAAACTTGCCACAAAGTATCCTTGGGTGAAAGGGATTCAAGTTTGTTCAAATGAAGGGCCAGGCCCTCATTCAAGGGGAGATATTGGGAATTAATGAAATTTGGTGGCATGTTTTAAAAATCTTCTCAAGAACCACAGTGCCAGGAAAGATGAAACTTATGGGGAAACATCCTCAGGTAGTGTAGATTTAAGTTTATTCAAATCATGACCCCCGGGGGTAGGGCGGGGCCACAATGGCCGACCAAAGTTTTACATAGAAATATATAGGAAAATTCTTTAAAAATCTTCTTCTCAAGAATAACAATGCCATAATTGATCATATTTATATGGAAGCATCCTCAGGTAGTGTAGATTCAAGTTTGTTCAAAACATGACCCCCGGGGGTAGGGCGGGGCCAAAATGGCCGACCAAAGCTTTACATAGAAATGTAAAGGAAAATTCTTTAAAAATCTTCTTCTCTAGAATAGCAAAGCCATAATTGATCATATTTATATGGAAGCATCCTCAGGTAATGGCCGACCAAAGTTTTACATAGAAAGGTATAGGAAAATTCTTTAAAAATCTTGTTCTCAAGAATAGCAAAGCCATGATTGGTCTTGGGACTACTTTTGGATTCAAGCTTTTCAAGCATAAACCAATTCTGCTTTTTCCTAGCCACAGTGCTCAGGTGAGCCTCTTGTTACATCAATTTTTATAATTTTTTTTGGATATTGATTACATTTGAAAGACAATATGAAAAAATGTTTGTCTTCCATAAAATATTTGACCCAGGATAATGATCTGCATACCTTTATAAATACAAGTTGTTTATAAAGATGGCAGAAAATAAATAAGAAACTTTCAAAGAAAATAGAACTAGAAACATACATTTTCCAACTTTCCCCCAAATTTTAACAAATTGTTCAATCATAAAATTGTTAGATGGTCGAATATTTCTTCTTTAGTTAGAAGGGCTTTAGAATACATTAAGATAATTCACTTTCTGGGGAAAAAGTTTGTTTGTGTTCTTTTTCTTTAAGTCAATAGATTGATTGATTGTATATTGTTTAATGTCCCTCTTGAGAATTTTTCACTCATATGGAGACATCACTGTAGGGCTTCAAGTTTAGACCTATACTTGGCACTCAAGGCCATTGAGCAGTGAGGGTTCTTTATCGTGCCAGCTTCTACCGTGACACAGGACCTACATTTTTAAGGTCATATCCGAAAGACCTGTGACTTTCACTTCTGATGCCAAGCGCTTGGTGAAAGAACAGTCATGACCTATCTCTACGTCTTATGTTTGACGTGGCGCTGCCAATGAGAATTGAACCCGGGCCTCCCAATCATGAAGCCAACGCTCTACCACTAGGTTACCATGAACAGTTAAAGTCAATAGAAATCAGTCGACTGACAAAGCCATATAGCTATAGAGCTGTATTGCATCTCTACTTCCATTTTCGATAATCGTGGGAAATACAGTTTATTTGATGAAAGATAGGAACTAGTTTTAGATCTGAATTATATAATGTCATCATCTGTTGTGTTTGACAGCTGAATGAACATTTAGAATTATTGCTTCCTGGCTATATCAACAAAGATGATGCTTCTAAAGGCTGTTTAGCAGTCAATCAAAGCAAAATGTTGAGCAAGAAAATTATTTATATTTTATAATTTATGGCAAACTTAAAGTGTTTCTATCTTTTTCATTGCAGTTGACATTTGAGATTAATTATTCAGGGCTCTCACACCCATTTTTGGTACTGGGGCCGGGGCCACTGAAATTGGGAAAAAAGCGACGTTTTTATAAAAATTGGGAAATTTTTACCAGTCATAATTTAAACTTACATCATTGTCTTGCTCTTAGTAGAAATATTTTTTCTACACTGACAACAATACTGCAGGGATCAAACTTAACTTTTTGACCACTGTAGTAAATATCAGCAGATTTATTATTACTATCAAATTGTAACTTTGAACTTTTCCTAGCATTTTTTCTCCTTATAGTGATTCATATAAGATTTAAATAATCTATTAAAAATAATAATAATAATTAACCTCCTAGAAGCATTTAGGCCGTTTTATTACAGATGAAATCTGAACAGATACAGAGTAAATCAGTTGTTTAATCAAAAAAAAATCATCTTTATGAATTTAAAATTAAATCATTAAATACACTGGGGATATCTTTGTTGGAAAATTACATAACTTTCTTACTCAAGTTGTTTTAAAGATCGTAAATAATTTAATGGAATATCTAACGTTACATTGTATCTGATTGTATTTACCATAAAGAAAGGAGTCGAGGAAATTCGGATTTAAAAAAAACCCCGATCGTTTTATCGTTTTTGGAAGTAAATTATAAGACAGGTAGCGCTGCAAAATGGATAAGATTATGGGGATTTATAAACTGTAGGAGCATGGTACCTATTTTTTTTTTAATTGTTAGGGAATCTAATAGCAAAATAGTGAATAAAATACCTGTAACAGTTAGGCCTAGTGCTTCTCATTCAGTCTTGGTAATCTGAATTTTTTACAAGACCTTTTTTTCTCACAAAAGGTGGCGAACACAGGTCGCTTTCAACTCGCAATTTTTTATTTTAATTCTAATTCAAAGAGTATTTTCCATTGATTTCGAGCCCTGACATCATATCTGCAACATGTTGTGAATGAACAAGTCGTACCTACTTTACTACCACAGGCACCTGACGTTACTTTTTTTTTTTAATAAAAAAATATACACATACCTAATAATAAACACGTTTATTATTATTAAGTATGTGTATATTTTTTTTATTAAAAGAAAAATAAGTAACGTCAGGTGCCTGTGCTTACCACAGACGACTTTCGTTTTCATACTAAACTGGTTCCAGCCTATAAACAAACTACCAGTTCATAACACGAACGTCTTTCCTTCATATCTTAATAACAGTGCTTTTACGACTGTCAAAGATATGCTTTTTTGTTACAGTAATGAATTTGAAGCAATCATAAATTGGGAATTTTTACCCTTAAATTTGGGAAAAAGGGTACCTTTTTCACGTTGGGAATGGGGCCGAATATCGGCCCCAATTATAGAGAATCGAGAGCCCTGTTATTGCAGTGGTCAAATAAGGCCATATTTACGTAATATACATACATCTTTGTAAATCCATGCAAAAATTAACGTGGGCAATGCTACCTCTTTTGAGGTCTGAATCTCCCTATTTTTCATCACAGTAGGTTAACACATACATGTACATAGGTTGACAATCATTTTATTGCAAAAAAGAAAATGATTTGAGATCTTGTTAAAAGTTTTACAAGTGTGATCTTTTGAAGGATTTGGAACAGTGTAATTGTTTGTTAATCAAGGAAAAGTATAGAAACTCAGATTTTGTTATATTTTGTAGAAGAGTGTAGAGAAGCTGAAAAATCTGCTGAATAAAAAGTCTGTTGTAAGCAGTTTGGATTTAAATTCACAAAACAAGACTGGAGACAGGAACATTCTCACTTGGGATGGAATTACTAGGGTAATGGATCTATATTACCTCTTTGTAAGATGACCATTTCATTCAACAGATCAAAAGTTGAATACTGATTAATTAGGGCCCCGCAAGGATTTGCGGGTGCCCTATAGTAATGACTCTGTCTGTCCATCCGTCTGTCATTCTTCCGTCCACAAATTTTGTTTTTTCCTAACAACTTTTTAGCTCACCTGAGCCGAAGGCTTATGGGGAAACATCCTCAGGTAGTGTAGATTCAAGTTTGTTCAAATCATAACCCCCAGGGGAAGGGCGGGGTCAAAATGGCTGATCAAATTTTTACATAGAAATATATTGGAAAATTCTTTAAAAATCTTCTTCTCAAGAATAACAAAGCCATAATTGATCATATTTATATGGTAGCATCCTCAGGTTGTGTAGATTCAAGTTTGTTTAAATAATGACCTCCAGGGCTAGGGCGGGGCCACAATGGCTAACCAAAGTTTTACATAGAAATATATAGGAAAATTCTTTAAAAATCATCTTCTTCAGCCATAATTGATCATATTTATATGGAAGCATCCTCAGATAGTGTAGATTCAAGTTTGTTCAATCATGACCCCCGGGGGTAGGGCAGGGCCAAAATGGCCAAGTAAAGATTTACATAGAAATATATTGGCTTATGGGGAAACATCCTCAGGTAGTATAGATTCAAGTTTGTTCAAATCATAACCCCCAGGGGAAGGGCGGGGTCAAAATGGCTAATCAAATTTTTAGATAGAAATATATTGGAAAATTCTTTAAAAATCTTCTTCTCAAGAATAACAAAGCCATAATTGATCATATTTATATGGAAGCATCCTCAGATTGTGTAGATTCAAGTTTGTTTAAATAATGACCTCCAGGGGTAGGGCGGGGCCACAATGGCTGACCAAAGTTTTACATAGAAATGTTGAGAGAAGTTCTTTAAAAATCATCTTCTTCAGCCATAATTGATCATATTTATATGGAAGCATCCTCAGGTAGTGTAGATTCAAGTTTGTTCAATCATGACCCCCGGGGGTAGGGCAGGGCCAAAATGGCCAACTAAAGATTTACATAGAAATATATTGGCTTATGGGGAAACATCCTCAGGTAGTGTAGATTCAAGTTTGTTCAAATCATAACCCCCAGGGGAAGGGCGGGGTCAAAATGGCTGATCAAATTTTTAGATAGAAATATATTGGAAAATTCTTTAAAAATCTTCTTCTCAAGAATAGCAAAGCCATAATTGATCATATTTATATGGAAGCATCCTCAGGGTGTGTAGATTCAAATTTGCTCAAATAATGACCCCCGGGGGTAGGGTGTTGCCACGATGGCTAACCAAAGTTTTAAATAGTAATATATAGGAATTAGGAATTTTTAAAAAAAATCTTTGTTTAGCTCACCTGAGCGGAAGGCTCAAGTGAGCTTTTCTGATCACATTTTGTCCGTTGTCCGTCTGTCCGTCCGTCCGTGTGTAAACTTGTCACATTTTCGACTTCTTCTCAAGAACCACTGTGCCAATTTTGACCAAACTTGGTACAAAGCATCCTTGGGTGAAGGGGAATTTAAATTGTTAAAATAAAGGACCAAGTCCCCTCACAAGGGGAGATAATCAAGAAAAGACAAAAATAAGATAGGGTCATTAAAAAATCTTCTTCTCAAGAACCACTGGGCCAGAAAAGCTGAAACTTATGTGGAAGCATCCTGGGGGAGTGTAGATTCTAAATTGTTCAAATCATGACCCCAGGGGGTTGGGCGGGGCCACAATGGGGAATCCACATTTTACATAGAAATATAAAGGAAAATCTTTGAAAATCTTCTTCTCAAGAACCGCTGAGCCAGAAAAGATGAAACTTCTTTGAAAGCACTCTGGGGTACTGTAGATTTTAAATTGTTCAAATCATGACCCCGGGGGGTAGGGCGGGGCCACAATGAGGAATCAAAGTTTTACATAGAAATATATTGGAAAAATCTTTGAAAATCTTCTTCGCAAGAACCACTGGGCCAGAAAATATGAAACTAATGTGGAAGCATCCTGGGGGAGGGTAGATTCTAAATTATACAAAACATGACCCCCGGGGGTAGGGCGGGGCCACAATAGGGAATCAAAGTTTTACATAGAAATATATAGGAAAAATCTTTGAAAACCTTCTTCTCAAGAACCACTGGGCCAGAAAAGATGAAACTTATGTGGAAGCATCCTGGGCGATTGTAGATGCTAAATTGTTCAAATCATGACCAGCAGGGTAGGGTGGGGCCACAATAAGGAATCAAAGTTTTACATTGAAATATGTAGGAAAAATCTATGTAAATCTTCTTCTCAAGAAGCATGCACTGGGCCAGAAAAGCTGAAACTTATGTGGAAGAATCCTGGGGTAGTGTAGATTTCAAATTGTCTAAATTATGATCAGTGGGTAGGGTGGGGTCACAATATGTATTACAAGGGGGAAATCTGGTAAAGAACAGAATGATCAAAGCTTCTCAGGTGAGCGATGTGGCCCATGGGCCTCTTGTTCAAGAATTGCAAAGCCATAATTGATCATATTTATTTGGAAGCATCCTCAGGTAGTGTAGATTCAAGTTTGTTCAAATAATGACCCTGGGCTTCAGGGTTCAACACTAACAGTGGACCTTCAGCCCAAGTCCACCAAAAAATTGAAAGGTCCACCAAATGTTCTGGACTAGGTGGACCGTCTGTCCACTTTAAATCTTAACACAGTATTTGAAAACTGTGAAATTCAAGGGTTTTTAGCTCTACTAGTCACAGTTTTTGATTTCGATGAACGGTGTTGCCGTGGTTACTAAAAATAGAAATTTCTGTGAAATTTTTTCAAAATGCTACTCCTCCTACAGTTTTGGTCTGATTCTGATATAACTTTGCAAACAAATAGACTACATTAAGATACATAATTCTGTGCATTTGTTTTTGATTTCAATGAACGGTGTTGCCATGGTTACTAAAAATAGAAATTTCTGTGAAATTCTTTCAAAATGCTACTCCTCCTGCAGTTTTGGTCCGATTTCAGTATAACTTGGCACACAAGTAGACTATATTAAGATTCATAATTCTGTGAATTGGATTTTATTTTGATGAGTAGCAAGGATCATTTTTCTATTTATTGCTGATTTAAAGTCTCAAGTCCCAACTGCTACTTTTCTCTTCCTTTGTTTTAAGTATAAAACAGTAGAGCTACAGTCTCGATAGAGACTTCTGGTTTTTTTTTTAAATCAAAATCCGTAACTCAAATCATTAATTCCTCCATACATTTAATGGCTTTATTATACAAGAACTAGATATATATTTAAATAATATATAGGTAATCAAGGGGGGGGGAGCAAGCATAAAAATGTTAGTGTCGAACCCTGGTGGGTAGGGCGGAGCAACAATAGCCAATCAAAGTTTTACATAGACATAAATGGGAAAATTCTTTAAAGGCCGAGATTTTTAACCGTACGGTTTTCTCAGGTAAGGGGAGGGACTAAATTTTACATGCATGGCACCCAGAGGCATTGATGTTCGTGCAGACCGTGGAAAGCGCTAATCCCAATACACAAACAGTATACACAGGAAGTCTGTGAGTATTACTTGTACAGCTTGCTGGCCTACTGTTCATCATAAAATTAGTAGATCTCGACATCGTGAATAAAAATATCATTAGTAATAATAAACGATCATTGTAAAATTCCATAATTTCAGACATATCTAATATCAAAACAAGCAGAAATCTCACCAGTCGACTTTTGTTTTAAAAAAAAAATCTACGGTATATGTACCTTACATTGTTCTTTACAGCAGCAATAACCTGAGTTGGTTGTTAAAAAAATAATGAAGTACAGGTATAAATTCAACAGTAAAATACTCATGATCCTGTCCTGCCTGTCCCTTTTAAAACCTTAAAAGCTATTCATAGTTATCATAAATATCGTAGCAATTAGAGCTTCCATCACAGTCAAATAGAAACAGTTACTTCCCGTTTGTATAAAAAGTCGCGTGGTCCTATTTTTAGCTCACCTCAATGAAGTTGGTGGAGCTTATGTAATACCCTCAGCGTCGGCGTCCCAGGTTAAGGTAAGTTTTTTGGAGCAGTTTTCTTTTTAAGTACTTCAATGTCCTATATTGATTAGACATGCATGGAAGATGCTGCTAGAGTGTTTCATATTGTACCAATCAAGGTTTCAGATGCTGCAATTTCAGCAAAGTGTTTTTGGAGCAGGTTAACATTTTTGGTGCAGTTTTTGGTGTAGGTGTGATTTCCAAGGAACTATAAGCCCTAAGTTGACTAAACTTGCACAGATGATACATCTAAGGATGCACATTACCGTGCTTGCTTCGGATGCTGAATCTGACCTACCTTTTCTGGATGAGTGAATAGGTTAATGTTGTTGGTGTGGGTTTGATTTCCAAGATACTATGAGCCCTGTAATGACCAAACTTGCATAGATGGTACATCTTAGGATGCATACTACTAGATGTGCTTCGGATGCTGAATCTGACCTACATTTTCCGGATGAGTGAACAGCACAGGAAGAAACGAGACCTTTCAGTTAAAATTGAAAGGTGGCTTTCAGTGACTTTTCAGTTGCCATTCAGCCACTGAATTACATTTGTGAGCCTTTCAGTCTTATTTCAGATACCTTTCAGTCGCCATTCAGCGGACACATTTCAGTTATCTTTCAGTGACCTTTCCGTCAACTTTCAGTGACCTTTCAGTCGACTTTCAGTGACCTTGAAGTGGTCTTTCAGTGACCTTTCCGTCGTCTTTCAGTTACCTTTCCGTTATCTTTTAGTACACATTTTAGTATCAATTCAGCGATATTTTTCACTGGCTTATTAATTTATAATCAGTAGTTTTTCCTTAAAAATATCTTGCATAAATTTATTATCCAATCTTAACTGTGTATTTGTTTCATTAACGTAATAAAGGTACCTAAAACTTGTAATAACAGTTAGATGTTCAATTGTATTTCAAGTGTTTACCAAATGTTAAAAGACATATATGGCATATTTTTTATACGTTCGG